CCTTAAGCTCAGAGCACTGAAACAAGGGGCTGGGGCAGCAGTAGGAGGCTGCTTTAGTACAACTGTACTAAACAATCCCACCAATCTACCACAGGCTAGGAAAAACACTGCCTTGGGCCAGTTCCCAGTGGGATTTCAAGATCCCTGCCAAGCTGCTAGCATCTCTTTCAAACAAGCAAGGAAGAAAAACCCTTTCCAGATTCTTCAGACCCTCTCATTATAGCTGTCTGAGACTGGGCTCATATACCAAGGGTAATTATAGGGCATCAATCACAGGAGTAAGTAATAGGAGGGTTGGGGGTCAGACACGCCTGTCTTGCCTCAGCAAAGCTTTTCGCGCTCAGCTGTTCCCAGCAGGTTTCTTCATCCCCAGTCCATTCAGCACAGAAATGAACCAGCAGGAAGCAATCAGAGGCTGGCCACCCACTGAAAACCTTAATGAAGAGCTGATGGCCCTGTACAGGGGGAGGAGATATGGGCCATACGGGTTTTCCCCCCCAAAAGGAAGAAGCAAATCTAAAAGTAAAGGCCTATGTTCACACGAGACTTTGGAATCAATAGGATGGAGGGGTTGCATAGGAAAGCTCTTGCTCATTTCTTTAAGGCTTAATCGTTTGCCACCTCCCCTGCACTTACACTAAGCTCTTGTCCAGGAAGAAACACTGAGTAAAGGGAGAACCTGTAAAGTGGTTTGACCTTTAATCAGAGTTCCAATCAACAAAATCAGGGTCAAAATGAGAAAGGAATGCAACCACATAACAAAAGGGAATAAGTTTCAAGTTTGTGGCTGTAGGGAGGTAGGATACCACCAGGCCTTTAAAGAGAACCTTTCATGAGGTACCATCTCTTGCTGGTTGTCCTTTGGCTATCGTGCTTCTGGCCTGCGGCATTGCTTTTATCATGCGAGCAATGTTCCCTGCTCTCTTGATTTCACAGGACCAACTCTTTGTTGTGGAAGCTGGCTGTATCCTCCACATGTCCTGAAATGATCAGCTGCAGGCAGGCCTCCACCACTCAGCAGTGTCCTTTGTTCTCAAGCTGGAATGTTGTTAGCTGGCGCCACCTTCCAAAGGCCTTAAAGAGTAGAGTGGACAAATCAAATATTCAGGTTATCCTTGAGGGGGTGCAGTCACGCGCACAGAACCAGCAATCACAGCTCTGCCTCTAGCAACGGCCATGCTACCTGCCCTACCATTTACTGGGAGACCCTTCCCTGTTTCTAGCCAACAAGAGAAGTGCAGAGCAAATATCAATGTGGCAGAAGGAAGACCAATCCCCCTTGGCCCCCTTGTTCCAGTACTTGCCCTAATACTTGCCCCTGTGTTGTTAAAGGAGGGCCTAATACTGCATCTCTGGTGGGCAGGGAGGGAAGGCAGAGCTGAGGAACTGGCTATTTGAGCCAGTGAACTTTCCCTGCTTACTCAAGTTTATAGCAATTTGCCTGCCCTTGGGTACAAGCCAGCACAATTCTCCTGCACCACCGTGGAGCCCTTTCCTTCCCTGAGCAGGTTTTTGAATGGTATCTCTGACAACAGTGGGGAAGGAGGCATATGTCAAGGAAATTGACTGCTGACACAAAGCTGTGATTAACACCCAAAGATGCATCCATATAAAGCTGGAAGCTATTTTCCTTTGTTATGGACAAGTCCCATTCCTCGATGCGTTCAGCTTCTCCCTAGGCAAGTGTTTTATGCAGGGAGAGAAACAAAGCAAACACCAGTTGTCTTTGGGGTGCTGTCTGGTCCATCATGAAACCTAGCACCTTCCACCTTTCTTGGTAAAGGCACAAACCTAGTCACAATGAGGGGAAGCTCTTGTGACTAAAGCTCTTTTGAAAAAAAAAAAAAAACAGGTTTGTCTGGGATTCAGTCCACATCCCTCTGACAACACACTGCCATTTGCTGATTTTCTTTCTGATCTAACCCTTTACAGGAGCAAGAGATCCTTTACGTGGATCCAGACTATAGCCCTTAGTTACGTATCACCTCCCAAGCGATAACACGTGACAATCCTGCTTGGAGATGGTTTCAGAACAGCACTTGGTGTCTAGAGCTTAGATGTAAACCTTTTAATCCTTGAGGCAATGCAACTGTTCAGTACCCTGTGCCAGAGGCTTGGGATCCATAGAATATAAGCATAAGAATATAAGTGCTTACGTGGATGAGTAGTCTCCTGGCTTCCTCCTCCAAAACATTCTGCACCACACAGCTTTGCAAGTGTTGTCGTCTCCACATCCTCCAGGCCTTTTCCATCAGCCGCTGCTGGTCCTGCCAGAAAAAGAGAGATTAGGTGAGCTCTGGCAGGCAAACCACGTCACTTCCCTTTAGTCCCACCTTGCTTCCAGTCACTTTCCCCATGCCCTCTTGAACGACACTGCATCGATAACGAATGAAGCTGACAGCTATCAAAGCTCTTGCTGAATTAGTCTCCTGCAAATATTGCGGCTAGTTAAGTCACAGTACCCTGAGGCAAGAATGGTACCTCAGCAGTGCTCTAGCCACAGCTCCTCAGTGACTACGGATGCTCTGTAGGTGCACCACCTTGTCCCGCAGGCAGCTTAGAGAGTGCATCTCACAATGCCTGAGAAGCCAGAAAGAATATCAGTGTGTTCCATAGATGGCTGAGGCCTGAGCAGAAGAAGGGAAGGCCAGATGACAGCCCTTGGTAGGCTACGGACATCAGGGAATACAGATGAGGACATACATTATAGATTGTAATGCTTGCTGCAGACTTTTTGCACAGGCTGTGGATAAGCTACACAAATCACCCTAAGTCTCAGCTTCCCACCTGTAAGATAGGGCAAAGCACAAATAAATATATGGTTATGTCAGTCTGCCAGGCTGGCATTTCAAAGAGAAAGCTGGAAAAAGTAGCCACAGCAGGAGACCAGGATTTCCAGTGCGCTCTAGTACTTGTTAAATCCCTGGGGTCTCATCTTTAGGGCCTGTGTGAGGATGCAAGCAGAGTAGGCTCGCCTGATAACACCCACCACCATCATGCTGGTGGTGATACCAGACACTCACCAACACCTTTGCCAGCAGCATTACCCTGCTGGCCTCCTTCCATTGCTGCCATCCCCCTGCCAGGCGGCGCAGCTTCCTGCCACGCTGGCACTGGCGCAGCATCACTGCGTGATGCCACCGCCTCAGATACTTCCTCCTGTAGGCAAGAGAGGAAGAAGAGCTTGATCAGCCCGAGAGCCCTGCAAGGGAGTCCTTCCCTGACAGTAGCACCAGCTGGAAGAGGAAGCCCCGAGCCTTCTGCTCTGCTTACCCAAGCCACTTCTCATCCGGCTCCTCAGAGCCCACCTCAGAGTTGCTCTGGATCCCGGCATGTGCAGGAGTGAATCCCATCACACCAGGTCTGTCCACCAGCTGATGGAGTGGCAGCCTTTCCGCCCGGCTTTGGTTTCTGTAGATCATCAGCCAGCGGTGAATGGCGCTGGGAAAAAGCCCAAAGGGGGCAGCTGGTGCTAGTGGTGAACCTTTTTCTCTGCATCCTCTCCTCTCTATGAAAGAAAAGAGGACTCACACATGGCCTACCACGGGCCCTTAGTCCTCTGGCTCCTGAAAACAGAAGCAACCCTCAGTCAAGGTCCCACTGCCACAAGCACCTCCTTCACAGAGAAGCCCCAGTCATCTGGCTAGGGAACGCTATTCCCCTTCTCTCCTCACTCACGCTCCCCACATGGACCCAAAGAAAGAGAGGAGGGGGCATCTTCTTACTGATAGACCAAGACAGAGACATCTTCCTGCTCTTCCTAGCGCCTATCAGGGTACTGCATTGCCGCGAGCACTGGGAAAAGGCAGCTGCTTTTGTCCAGTAGTTGCAGGCCTGAAAATAAAGTTAACAGAGCTGCAGCCAAAACTAGACACATGCATGTGCACACACACACTAGCTTTAGAGATACATACAAATTCATACCCCTGCAGGTGGTTAAATATGCTAGACCCTAGGTCAGAAACCGCACAGCTGAGATCCAACAGGATTGATTCAGCCATTCCAAACTGAGCTGTTTGTGGTTTACTAGCTGTGAGCCTTTTGAAAAAGGCTGCAACTCTGACAGCTCCATCTGCTCTGCAGGGACAGTTATCATCCCATCTCATTTTAGAGCAAAGAGAAAGGAGTGTTCTTGTCTCTCTGGTTTAAATGTCCCATTCCTTAGTGCTGTACTCCAGATGGTTGCTGCAATTGGCTCCAGATTTTACCGATGAGGTTGTGCATGTAGTCTGTACAGCACTTCAAGGCAAAGTGGAGAGACTACTTAGAGAGACTAGGTAGTCACCACAGTCACCACCAGTCAACATGAGGTTTTTATACAAGCCTCGTCAATGCACCTCAATGCCCAGAGATCCTACTGTAGTCTTCACAAGAGAACAGAGAGTTACTGCCTCATTGTCTCGCAGGGCCCTTCATCTCTTCTTACCTGTTCCATGGTGGCCACAGAACCTAGGCGCAGGGCTTGCTGTCCCCTTGAGGCCAATCGCCAGCGGTGACAGGCTTTAGCCTGACAGCGTGCCTGCTGCTTGTGGCTTCCCTCTCCCAGCAACTGCTGTTTAGCTCTCAAGAATTCCACTCTCCAGTGGGCAAAGGTCACTGCTAGGAGACGGCGCTCTCTGGCACTTTCCAAACAGCAAAGGGCTTCACGCTGCCTCTGCCTATAGGCAGTGATGTGGGACCAGGTGATTAGGCATCTGAAAAACAGCACAAATACAGAGAAATGGCAGCTGCCTAAAGTCACATTTCTGTATCAGCACTGAACAGACTACAAGCCAAGTTCCACCTTCTACTCCCCACCCTGCAGTGACATATCTAATTGGTCAGAGCAATCAAAAAAGCATTCAGCAAGAACAAAGACTGTTCCTGTTATTCCTTCCACAAACAATATTTATCTCTCTGTTGTTAACACCTCCGGAGGACAAGGCACTGGGAATGTAAGTCCAGACTCCTAGAATACAGTTACTTTACACTAAGAAACTCTCCTCATTTTACTTCAGAATCACAGCACTGCTAGCTCTTAATTGCTCAAAGCCCAGGAATAGGACTGCTTCAGTCTGGGCATTTTAGCATTTCTTCTCCTCGAGGGTCTCTGCAAACAGAATGCAATGTTATACTATGCTTCTGCTTTGCCCACAGAACAAATGCTTTTCCCAGGCTGCCCTACCACTACACACAGATGATCTCTCACAGAAAAGAAAGGAAAATCTGCCATTAAATCAGTCAGTCTTTGATCTTTCCTTGTGCCAGCAGCTCCCCTTTAAGATGATGCTTTAGCGAGGAGGGCTTTTCCTTATGGGATGAGAATAAAACCTCTAAAATCTCCTTCAGTGCAGAACCTGGCTGACACATATAAGCACATATAAACCAAGGGCTTGCCTACATAGGCTATGTGACTAGAATAACACATCATCTTTGTGTAGACAATTTTATTCCAAAATTAATGTCTACAAAAAAAGAGTTACTATTTAACAGCACTGTAAATCTGCACGCACAGTAACTTCTCTACATAGGCCAGCTCTTGCAGGCTGATGCACAGGAGGTCAGGCTTATTCTGCAACCCCGGAAGCCAATCTGCTTTTAACTCCCGGCTTTCGGTTTCTTGTGCCAGCTGGACTTTCATTATGCAAATCATCTGACTGCACCAGAGGGCAGAGGTGTAAATAGCCTCTGCCTGGCAGGCCTCTCTGAAGATCAAAAGAACCTATTGCAGGTTACCCTAGCATGAAAAATGCCCCCCTCAGAAGAGAGAGGGCTCAGCCTGTACCATATCCAGGTGAGAAATTAGAAGTGCCCACTCATCAAAGAAGAGCTCACAAGCAAAATTAACGATGGAGACACACTCTACAGGAAGGAGTAACATTAAGGACTTTTCTGAAACGCAGTTCCCGCCAGGGTGCCACCACATAGATTGATTTGGAGAAGAAAGTGCAGCAGGGTGGGGTGAGTGCACAATCTAAGCATCATAGCCACTAAGGTTTTACAGGGTTTCTAGTTGCTTTTTCCTCTGCAAATCTTTGTCTCATCTTCGGCTGAACCTGCAATGCAAAAGGAAATCTGCTAGGGCCAAACCTGCACTTCCCACACCTTAAATGAATCCTTAGCATTATTCATTTTACTCATTCTTATCCTCCTCAGAAATCTCAAGGAGAACCACCTGAACACACTTCCTGGTTCACTGCCCCTGGACACTTCACTGCATTTCAGACAAACAGTAGCCTTACACAATAGAAAACAAACAAAACAGATTTCAGTGAGAAAGGGAGTGAAGAACAGCTAGGAGACAAACAATGCTGACAAAGACTGGCAGCAGT